GACCGGAACCGAGACCGGGACCGAGACTAAGACTGGGACCGGAACCAAGACCGAGGCCGGGACCGAGACTGAGTCCAAGTTTGAGTCCGAGTCCAAGTCTGAGTCTGAGTCCGAGTCTGAGTTTGAGTCTGAGAGGGTGAAAGCCTAAAGCATTCGTCTCCTAGACCCTGGGGGGTTTGGTGAGCTCCAAAAGTATAGTAACAGGGAGGACTGCAGTGGAGCCAGTTTGGCTAGGAAAGGCCAGTTTGGCCCAGGAAGGCCAGACCTAGTGTTGGGTGATGAATTGACCACTAGGAAGTCCAAGACTAGAGTGAATACAGACCGATAAGTGGGATAGCTTGAAGAAGTGTTCAAGAGCCAGCTCTAGTTCCCCCAGGAGATCGACTGGCCGATGCTCCTAGTCCAAGTGTGGGTGGCACTACCTACTTGGATACTTGGTGTGGCTCAACGGAACCTCGCTCTAAGCTCATGGCTAGAGCACCTAAAGGCAGAAGGTGGGGAGAGTACCCACGGGGCTCACGTAGGGCCACGGTGTTCCGAAATGTTGTCCCGAAGTTCCAAATGGGGGAAAGGTGGAGGAGCAATCCTCTAGTGTAGTGACTACGGATATGGTCACATGGTGAGGAAGTCCCAGAGGACCATGGGACTTAGTAGCCGAGCCTATGGGCCTTGATCTAGTGGTAGTGTTGGTGAACATGGCCATGGACGGAAGAGGGACTTGGCAAGAACTGAGAAAGGGATGTTGGGGAAGGCTATTCCCATGTCTGTGGGCATCTTAAGGATGTTAAGGAGTGGATCTAGGATGACCACTTGTGGACGGATGACCCAGTCTTGGAGAGACGAGATTGTGATACAAGTGGTATTGGACCACTAGTGCAATAAAGGTGAATGGGTATGGCCTTAGTGTAATGGGCCGATATGTCAGCGGTACCTTTGGGTGTCGGTCTTGGGACTGGACACGTGGAGCACTTGGACCAAGTGGTCAGAGGTGTGGTTAAGTGACTAAAGTAGAATAGAAAATTTAATCGCTTACAGAGGATTGGAGTATTCTCCTGGATGTCTTCAAACACGCATTCGAACATGTTGACAATTGTGATTATGCCTTCCAACAATTCCATTGTCTTTGTCAAGAGCCATCTGAGTCGGTGATGCAATTTGGTGTTTGTTTCCGAAGTCTCTTGCTTCGTGCGGAGCCAAATATGTCGAAGTGGATTAAGCTGGGAATGTTGTGGCCAGCACTTCATCAAAATTTTGTAGAACTTGCGTATGCACTTGCTTTAGCCACCCTTGATAATGCCCTTCACTTGGCACAATGTTATGAGACATTGCCTCTTCCACTTCTCACTACATGTTTTTCAACTCCACTTCCTGTGGGAGATAGTTTTGTTGAAATGGAGGTTAATGCTGCTGCTACTTGAGTTCAAGGACAAAGGCGAGGATGTGGTCATGGCCGTGATGTTCACTACTAGGCGTGTGATGACACTTATTGGCATTGTCGACATTTTCTGGATTAGTGGCCTTCAGTTCTTAGGTGAAGACCTTGGCGTCAACAACATCCTATTGGTGCTACTGCAATGGAAGGTTTAAAAACCAAGATGCATTCGGGAAACAAAGAGTCACGCGAATAATGAAAGGACCTTGTGCGAATAAGTCAGTGATCCTTTTATTTTTCTTTTGCAAATATCATCAAGGGGTTCACTCAGCACTAGTTCATTCAGTGTTTATTTTCCAAGCTCATTTTTATAACAAGAAGTCTCCTATTATTCTCTCTATGTTGGTTGATATAAGTTCAAGTTTATCTTTTATTGCTTGACTTATTGCCACACATTGCCGTTTATATTTGCATCATATGGAAGAGTCAATTTTCATTCTTTATGGTAATGGCCATACACATGCATATGCACTAGATGAGGTGGATCTAATTGTGTGTGTGGGTGATCTTAAACTTGGGTTGTAATCATTGCAGGTGGTACTAAGTCAAGCTTTTGACCTTATCCTTGGTATAAATTGGTTGTAATGCAATCATATCAAAAGTAACTTTGAGGTTTCTCTCCCTTGTTTTATACTTCTTTATATTTTATCCATTCCTCTCACTTCCATACCTCTTCATCCCTCTGCTTCTATTACTTCCTCCTATGTTTTTATTTTATTCCGCTCTTCCCTTTTCTGATCCCTCCAACAATCTTTGTGTTGCAATGGTTGACTGATTCATGAAGGAGTATGCCAATCTCTTTCAATTTGACTTATTGTTTAAAGCCAAGATTGCCACACATCATCCAATTCCAACTGAAGATACTCGTCCAATCAAGGTTCATGTTCGCCATCAGTCACCCAAAGAGATCAAGATTTTACCTGTAAACATCAAAGAGATGTTGGAAAAAGGTGTTATTCAAAAGTTGCGGAGTTTTTAGACATGTGAATTTCATTTTGTGATGAAGCTTGATGGGAGTATTTGTTTCTGCATTAATTATTGTTCTTTAAATGAAGTGATGATCTTGGATGTGTACCCTCTTTCTCATATTGCTAATTTCTTGGATTGCTTGGGGAAAAATCATTAGTTCACCAAGCTAGATCTTGGTTCTAGGTAGTGATAAGTACCAATGGTTGAAAAAGATATTCTAAATATTAATTTTCATACACCATTTGGTTTGTACGAGTTTTTGGTGATATTGTTTGGTTTGAACAATGCTCCAGTGACTTTCCAATAGATGATGGATAAGGTTCTTTGCAATATGCTAGAGGTGACTACTAACTTCATTGATGGTGTCTTGATCCACTTAGAGGGGACATGGGAGGAACACATCCATAATATTCGTAAAGTGTTGAATCGGCTACGAGAAGTTGATTTAAAACTGAAGTGGTTGAAATGCGTGTTTGAGTTCAAGGACACAACTTATCTTGGGCACTGTATTTCTCGTGAGGGTTTGCAAGTTAATCCTGACAAATTTATAGCTGTTCTAAAGTTCCCTACTCCAAAGTGTGTGAATGAGTGTAGCACTTTCTGAGCAAAGTGTAGTATCTTGGTTGTTTTGTGGATCATCTTTTTTATCGCACTACACTATTGCAAGCATTGCTGAAGTCATCAATGTCATTTTTCATGTGGTCTACAAACTGTCTACTGAGACTATATAGTCTTTTATATGGTCTATAGACATCTCAATTGGGGATACGCCACACTTTCACAAATGTTTATCATCTACAGTTAGACAGTTTAGTGAAATAGTTTGTTCAAACATTCAAAGGGATGATTGTAAAGTATGTGAACTTTGCATTCGGATTGGAATGGCTATTTGCCATCTCTTTACTATGCATATGTCACAAGGGTGTAGAGTTCTATTAATGCTTCACCATATAAACTCTTATATGGTCATGATCCAATATTACCAACAGAGTTGGGTTTACTTTTGTGATTGCCACGAGTTGCAAATGCTAGGTCATGGGTTTAGTATTTGACAAGCATTCTTCCACTTGTCTGAGTAGAGTTTGTTAAACACATAGGCCATGTACAAGTGGGACAACAATGGTGCTACAACTTGCAAAGTATAAAGTGGATGACTTGGTATTAATTTATTTTCCCTATCTTATGGTACATAGTTTATCTAAAAGGCTCCTTTCTTAGTGGAAATGACCATATCGGGTGTTGTGGCAAGTTGGATTGCAAGTTTATGAGGTTCGACATGATGTCCAGTAAACTGATCCTCCAAAAATTGTACATATTTAGTGGTTGAAACATTTCATTCAAAGGGATTAGGAACAATTGATACCACCTGTAGATCCACTGATGCCTCTTCTTAATGTCCCTCTAAATCCCAACCCATCTACAAGAGAACCTTAATGGTCTTCCATTACTCCGAGAGAAGGGAATGATGTGAGGTCCAAGTGTATGGGTAAGATGCCATATATTAATATTAGCGTAGTGAGATTTTGGTAGCTGTCAGATTGATTTCAATCTGGACCACTCGCTCTTGCATATAAGTTAGGTTTTTTGACTAACTGATATGCATATTTTTTATATTCCCTTTCCATATTCCATGCACCCACAAAGATAATTTTATTATATATAAAAAATTATATAGTAGAATAAACTATAATATACTAGAAAGTGTTTAGAACAGTTTATAAATTATAAATAATAAATTAGTCTAAGTGCATTACATAGTAGAATATCATAGAATATCCAAGAATAATCTAAGTATATTCATTATCTTACAGGTTTGCTTAAGCATACCAAAAATACAAAAATTTCAAAATAGCTAACACTGATTTTGAACATTTTATAGTTACTATTTATAGATAAATATACTTTTTTATAGATTTTAATAAACATCTCAGCCAGATAAAAAATATCAATGATCCTTTTTATGGCATAGAAAGCTTTATGGAGCTTGTAAGTTTCTTTGTTATTTTCTGTCTCTTCCTATAATTGATCACAATTACTTACTCCATTGTATGGATGAAAAACTAAAGGTGACTAAATAATAATAATAATTTTCTGCTTGTTGTATATAACAACATTTGGTTTGCTTAATAGTATTGTCATCCATGCTTAGTATTGTTGAATAATCCAATTGATAAATAATTATAAACATGTTTATAAATTATAAATACAAGTTTAATCTAAATGAATAACATAGATAATAGAATTTCCTAGAATATTCAAGCATATTTTAGGCCTTTGTAAATGAAGTTCTTTCTTGTGACTGCATTCGTTTTCAATATCCAAGAGATGGCACCACACGAGAACGACAGCTCCAACAATGGCTCCTTGGCTGGAGCCCTGGTTGGTTTTTTGAGTGATAAAGTGATTAATAGAATCATTCGTATTACATAGCATATACTCCGTGGAAGTGCTGCCCTTGGATGAGCATCAAAGAACCATTCCACAGTGCAAAGTTTAGTTTGTTTTTGGTAAAGGGTCTCCATGACCATGCTATCAGGATCATGTGTGGATGTACTTGTTTGGTTTTCGTCCCACTTCCTGAAAGAAGCTCGTTGGCAGCTTTTGAGTTTGACAAGAGGGTAAGTCTCGTTTAGTTAGCGCAGAATATTCGTGGCTTAGCTGGCGCCGTCGTCAATCGCTCAAGCTTTAGCTGCGATGGCGCCCGGGGAGTGGCATTGCCCCAATCGGCCGACGACGCAATTGTAGCATTGCCGCCATGGTTGGAGCTGTGCCGCCACTGGATCCTTCGCGTCGACTGGCGCCGTGGTTCCCCCGGTAGGGTAATTGGATGCTGTGGAACGGATCAGGGCGCGCGGTCGGCGAATTCCGCCTGGCCAAGGCCAGCATTGTTGGCATGAGCCGCTAGGTAGGTAGCGAGGGCGTAGGGATTTAAGTAATCTTTGTGGATCTGTTCGCGGCACTGGTGGCAGCGTTCTAGGGATTTCTCATCCAGATCTACACGGAAGAACAGAAGGAATGGCGCAGCAATCTGGGCCGTCGTCGTCGAGAGTGAAGCTCATGATTTTTTTGCTTGCTCTGGCCCTGGGTATGTACATTGTTGGCCCGCCATTGTATTGGCAGCTCCAGGAAGGCGCTGCTTCCAGCGTCCAGGTGGAGTGCCCGGTTTGTAGCTGCGATTGCTTGACTAGCAACTTGGTGACTGCTGCCGTGTCAAGTAAGTTCCTCCATTTTTCTTCTTTTATTCTCTTTAACGTTGGGACTGTTTGGTTTTTTCTACAGACTTGGGGAACCTCTCGCTTCTCGGTGAGTCTGCTCGTTCTTCCTTTCTTGTGTACTCAAGTTGTGTGGGTGGCAGATTGCAGCAGAGACGATCCGGAGATGAGAGAAGAACTGGACAAGAACCGCCTCGAGCTGCTTAACGAGGACCTCAAGCTCCAGGAGATGGTGGCCGAGGATGATCGGCGGCGAGCGGAGATGGCCCTGGTCGATGCGAAGAAGCTCTCGTCTCAGTACCAAAAGGAGGCCGAGAAGTGCAATATAGGCATGGAAACGAGCGAGGAAGCCAGGGAGAAGGCCGAGGCAGCACTCGGAGAAATGAGAAAAGTAGCTGCCCTGTGGGAGGAAAGAGCGCGGCGACTGGGATGGAAGGACAGCGGCGATGGCGAAGCGAATCCCATGAGACGGCGAGCGCTCAAGTTTCGATAGAGGTACTAGAATGCTCTTCACAACTTTTTGGGTCATGTTTCTTCTTTCCAGAACGTTTTTGGTTTCATCCAGTAATCGACTGGCATTTTTCTCTCACAAAGAGATTTTTCCGAGAGCTTGCGACGAAAGATGGACCCCAATCAATCGCGTCCTAATAATCCCAGAGCGTTCGGCACAATCTCTGTATCCAACTTTGGCTAATGGTTTTGGAAGCCTTGCGGTTTTCCAGCTGCTTTGGTACTGATGGAATTCTGGATGTCTCAGGCGCTCAGAAACTCCTCCAGGTCGTCGCCGAATTGCATCAGGTCGAAGTTGAAGTCTTCAAAGGTGTCTTCGTTCATTGCGGTTTCCTGCAAGCCACGGGGTGTTTTAAAATGATTTCTTCGAACTTTACTTTCATCTTACCTGTGCTTGTCGTAGATATTCCGCTCTGAATTCCTCCCGAGCAATGGAAATGTTGTTGATTTCATTGCTTAAATCTGCCTGATTCTGCTGTTCCTGACCATTCACTCCTGCGGCAAGAAACATAGAACGTGAGTTTTTTTTTCTTCATTCTTGAGCAAGCAAATTTCTTACTCTCAAAGATTCTCTGTTTGGCTTGTTCGTATTCTTGAAAAGTAGAGTTCGTCGTCTCGTCAATCCCAACATCGGATGCCTGGAAAAAGAATATTAGGAAGGAAATCTACTTCTTTTGCTTACCAGGTTTCCAAAGATATGTTCCTTTGTGGGAACAGACGAAAGCAACCTGAAAGATGAGAAAGTTATTGACGACAAATACCATCAAACAAAGATCTCAGCGTACCTGGATCGTGCCAGCTGCAAACGCTCATTAATCCGGTTGATACGATGCTCGGTAGCTTCTTTCACAGTTTTGAGAGTAACACAGGTATGGCCATAGAGAAACGCTTTGTGCCTGACCATGTAGCGAATTACGTGCAGTGGAACTGGATCCGGTCCCTCCCTCACGATTTGAGCGAGAGATAAGAGCCATTGCAAATTTTCTGCAAGAGAAGCAAAACTTTAGTGTGACGAAGAAAATAAAAGGGATACTACTACGACTACGTACCTAGAGACAACTTTAAACATCAGGAGGAATTCCTGGAACCATGTAAAACTAAACTCATTAGAAAGGAGGAGAAGATAGAGAAGAGGAAGAAGAGAAGGAAAAAAAAAACAAAGAAAGGAGTTGCGACAATGCTCCTCCATCTAGAAAAAAAAAAATGAAAGAGCTAACGTACCGAGAGACAAGTAGACTTTAACTTTGGGAGAGTATTCCTGCGTTTCATAGAGAATGTAGACCGCGTAGAGGGCTCCCAGTCTCCAAGAGAAAGGCTCCTCTGGAGAAAGATGAACTAAACGAACGAAATAGATTGAGGGATCAGAGAGGAAGAAGCAAAACGAAAGAAAATTTGGCGTACCACAGGCAGAGGTGTAGAGGATTTGCATGAACCGCGAGGGCTCCAATTTGGCGCGACGGGCCTGGTGGATGAAGGAGAAGCCGCGGCATCGCCATACCTCCTTCATCTGCGCCAGCTGCGTGCACCCAAGGGTCGCAAACGCCTCGATCAGCTCGTCCACATCGCGCGATAGCGCAGTGTATTCCGCCGCTGACACAGCGCCAAGCACTTCCATTCAGCCTGTAAAGTTTAGGGCACGGATTAGGGTGATTCTCAAGTATTGTGAGGCAGAGCGGGAAAACAACGAGCGCCCCTTACATGCTCCTAAATCCGAACAACGCTGGGATATGCTCTGGGGCGGAGTGGGGGTTCGAACAGAAACATGACCCAAATGTGTGAAGACCTCTATTGAAACTTTGTCGTTCATTCGCTGAGTCTCGGAGCAAACGGATCCCTGGAAAGCCGTCCTCTTGAGATGGAGAATATCGCTTTAGATCTTTGTGAGCTTCACATTGAGGGACTGGTAGATGATGCCATTGATCATGGCCTGGACTCCATCTCGTCGTGGAAGAGATGTATGAGCAGATGTTGTGGAAGGGCCTTGTGAAGTCTGCTGGTATCGGCATCTGTAGCGTTGGCTGGAGGCACTGCATTTCATCCACGATTTGGAGAAATGCTAAGCTCAAGATCTGGTGTGGAAGCTTGGGCTCACGGCATTGCTCTTGCTTGGGACACTCTCGGCTGTAGTGATTGGAATGATGCAGCATGTCATTAGTGTTGGCATTGAGAGCTGGAACTGGTGGCACCACTGCTGGAGGAGATGCTGGACAAGCTTGTGTTGTCACCGCTGGTGGGGGAGACGTTTGAGGATGCTCCTACTGCGTTGTGCTCCTCTGGCACCGGCAACTTGAGGTATAGAGTTCATTTCTTGGCACTTGTCATAGTCTTGGCATCATCCAGCAGCGTGCTTATGGGCTCAAGATCTCATTCGTGAGTCTTCTCTTGAGTCTCCTCACCTTGCCTTTGTCCTTGGTGGTTCCCTTTGGAGTTTTCCTGCCCTTGTGCATTGGAGTTGGCTTGGCCTTGCACGAGGGTGGTGTTGTCTCAGCTACTGCTCTTCATCTCTTCACTGGTGGAGTTGGTGCTGGTGGCAACTCTTCTTTTTCTTCTTCTTCTTTCTTGCTTTCTTCATTGTCTCCTTCCTCTTCATCATCATTGCAAAAGAGGATTATATATTCTTGTTTTTTTGAAGTGCATTCTTTTTTCCTTTGCGTTTGGGGCATCCTAGTGTTGGTGGTGTTGCTTGGCCTTTTTTTGTTGTCACCTGTTGCTGTTGCTTTGATTTGGAGGGATGTTTATGTCAAGCTTTGGGATAAGTTACTTGCGGGACAATCACAGTTTATTAATGGTGTAATTGAGTCACTTTATGGTCAATAGCAAAGTTATTCACTTGATGAGGTTGTCATAGACAAGGTTAGTCTTGACCATTCCGAATGATGACTAGCAAACAGGCCAACTGTTATTATCAACCGGCCATGAAAGTACTGAATGGTTGATCAGTTAAAAAAAAAAAATTAATTAAAAATAAACATTTTAGTAAAACCAAATTAATAAAAGTAGGAATGTTTAAAGTATTACATGCTTCAATATCATGCCTAGAAATTTAACAAAATGCACTTTTGATTCATTTTAAGATATTACCATATATTTTTCCACAATAGTTACACCTCTGCTCTTTTGCCGGAAGCATAAGGAGTGAGTTTGGTAACATGGGACCATGCCCAATCAAGTGCCAATTCTAGAATCAAATCATTAGAATCATAATTTCCATTTGATGGCATAAATTATAGTTCAAGGGGATGAGGGACAAGTGTGGGCGATTTGCGAGGCTTTGGTGAGCTTCTCCATGCTCAATCAAAAGTGGAGGCCCACCAACTGGAGAGTGTTGCTCTGGAGAGCTTGGTACACTGCGTAGGTTTGGCAGGAAGTGGAGTTGGTCAGATTTGATGTAAGCTTGTTAGGCATTCATAGATGGATTGTTCCATAGCAGCAGGAGAACCAGCAAAGCGGTGGAGATGTAGTGGCGATGGCAATCACTGCAACAACATCAAATATCTAGCCCCCCGCAATCACCATTGAAATCACCAAATGGAGTTGTTTGACTGCATTTGGTGGCAGTCGGGATCTCGGCTAAATGTGGTTAGGACTAACAGGGGTTGTAAAGGTAGTTAGTGATGTTAACTCTTGCAAGTCATCCTAGAGAATTATGATTGCTTTACCAATGGAGGTCATTGACTTGTGCATCTCGAGTGTGGAGATCAAAAACTTGAGCTATAGCTTTGCTTCATCAATCACATTATTCATTTGCAAAGAGTTGCCACTATTGTAGTTCTCAAGGGCTTTGATGCAGTTCAGTGGAATCCCTTTCGTGTATGGGATTAATATCATTTGCTTTCCATCAAGGGGAACCTTGAAAGCCCATATAAAATATCTAGCATGCATAACAAACTTATATTTGCTAGCATACATAAAATCTTTTTTGTATACCGGGAGAAATTTCTTGGTGATGCCAAGATTGTATAGCTTCTTCATAATCTTTGAAAGCTTGTAAATTTTCTAACCTCATATAGCCACTTGTCTAGCTCTCTAGTCCTCTTCTAAGTCAAATTGAGAAGACTCACTCTAATCATGCTAAGGGATATGGGATTGAAGATGAAGTCTTTGGTGACATTGTGCACTTGTGTGTTCTATTATTTCCCCATTCTTTAACTAAATGTTAAGTGACCTTAGTTCAAATCTCTAGCTTAAATTTTCTTTTTCTTCTTGTTGTATTCTTGTTTTCTTTTGATATTATGCACAATTTTTTATGAGTGTGGTCTTGTTTTGGTCTAAATTTTTTAAATTGTGCCATTTCATGAATCTTTGAGTTAAATTCTCAAGCTTAATTTTAGAGAATCTTCTTAAAGTTGTCTTTTTGTATTTGAACCTTGGAATTCTTCTTTGAGTTGAGTTCTTAAATTTAAATTCTAAGATTTATCTTTCCATTAGAATTTTGATCTTGATTCTATTTTGTTTTATCTATGTCAAAGTTTTGAGTTTTGTGCTTAAAGTTCTTGGATTCTAACCAAAGAAAATTGACTCAAAAATAAAATCAAGATGGGAAAGATCATTCCTTATTCAACAATTTAAAGCTTTAGGAATGGTAGTAATTGCAACACTTCACAGTGAATATCTCTAAATTATCAACACCAAAAAGGTCAAGAAATATTGATTAATAGACACTAATCTTGACAATGATCTAGGAGGGAATAAACAAAAATTATAACTTTAAAACCCAGCCAAAACTCAAGAATCTATTCTTAAAACTAGAGAATTTGATCTTCAATTTTAAGTTCTTCACTTTTCTTGAGTATTTTTTTTCTATCATGGTCAATTTTTTTCTAGCTTGAATGGCTATGAGCATCTAAATTGCTTGTAATTGTTTTTCATTGAGTTTTTCTAGCATTACTAGTCTTCTCTTGATTGATTCTCCTTTATTACTTTTATATTGTATTGCCATTCATAATGAAGAAACAATATACTTGAGTGGTGTTAAAGCTTTTAGGCTAGAAGTGAGTTTGAATAGTTTTGGATGAGATCATCCTAGTCATTTTTATTCATTTTCATGATATTCTTAAGTATATTCTTAAGGGTCTTACTTGTAGACTTGGCCTGGATAATATGGTATTAAAGTTTTATATTTGTATTATGGACTCTTGAGTTTAAATCTTGATGGTCTTATTTAAGTTTCCATTGTTGAAAAGGTTTGAGAAGAGTTATAAGATAAAGTTTTGAAATCTACTTTTTCAATGCATACTTAATTCTTTAACAAATATTACATTTTCAATAAAATGTTGCTAAGGCATGCTAGAGTGTTGGCCACCAAAGTTCTACTTGTAAAATCTTTTAAGCTATGATTTCTTTTATAAAATTTCCTTCTACTTGTTTGTAGTGAGGTTTTTTAAATAAATCTTGAATTTCATCATGTTGTACACAACTTTGTAGTTTGTTATCTTGTCATGACTTATACAATCTTCCTCCCATAATTAAATATAGTCTTGTTCTCAAGATAAATTGTTTGTATTGGTCGAAGGTGGTGTACTAACTCTATAGTCAAGTAGTAGTAGATGTCATTTATCAAAGTTAGTGAAGTATAGACTTGCAAAATATTGAAGTTATCCATGTTGCACTTTTGTTATTCACTAGTTGTGATGTAACTAAGCTGATCAACTTATTCATCTTTTATAGATGATTTCAAAGTTATATTCTTGACAGAGTAAGAATTATCAAACAATTTTACTAGTGAGGATGGTTTTATTAAAAAGGTGTAGAACTACTTTATAGTTCATTATGATTTTTATTTTATTGCCAAGTAGGTAATGTTAAAACTTCTAAAGTGTGTAGACCATTCTAAGATCTTCTTTTCTCTATGGTGATCTTAGCTTTTAGTTAGTTGGTCTATTTTTAAAATCTTCCCATTATTATAAAAGAATCTTTTTTATTGTGTAGTCTAAGATGTCGACTTCAATATTGCAGTCTTTATTATAGTTTTGTTATGCAAGTATTAGAGCTCTTGTCAACAAATTTTTGAGTGTGCTAAAAGCTTTTTGACCCTTTTAAGTCTATTTATAGATTTGATTCTTTTTAAAAAGTTTGGTAAGTTGTTTAGCAATCTTTGTATAGTCTTTGATAAATTGTTGATAGTATCCCATTTAATTGAGAAAGGTTTAAAATTCAGTAATGTTTATTGGATGTTACATGTTAATAATGGCAAGAGTTTTGTCTTTGTTGATAAAGATTCTTTTTTTGCAAACGACACATCCAAGCAAAACTCCAATTTTGATGAAGAAAATGCACTTATCAAGATTCGAGATAATATTGTTTTCTCAATATTTGATAAAGTATTTTTTGAGATAGTTGAGATAGCTTGGTTGTATTTTGAAAAGTTATTATGGAATGAGTCTAATGACTACATCAAGAATTTTGTTAAAGAAGGGAATCAAGAATATGTCTTTTTGTGTTGCATCATTCAGCTTTTTGTAAATGATGCAAATCTTAAATTTATCATTCTTTTTAGGAACATTGACTAGTGGTAAGTTTTATTCTAAATCTTCTAAATCTTATTTTATTATTATTGGTATTGAGGTTGAAACTCTTGAGTTTAAAATTATTACTCATAATTGTCTTGAGGAT